TTTTACCGTGACTTCAACATCCTGTAGTCCTAGGCATGGGGCGGGTTTGCTGGTCGTCCACCCACCTGCAGCTCAACTCTCCGGCCACCTCGTACCAGGTGTCTGCTGCTGGAGGGAACAGACACAGGTGCTAGCAGGAGCTTATTAGCTGAGGCCATGATTAAACTCCTGCTGTATCCCAGGCCTTGAGCTTCCAACACAGTGTGACAAACTCGTGTCCAGGAAGGGAACCAGACACTCCATTGAATGATCGACAGCATAATCAATGATCAATACCATGATCAATAATCAAAACCATAATCAATAATTAAAACCATAATCAATCATTAATACCATAGACTGAGTGGAGGGAGGAAGGAAAGATCCATGACTCGGGAGGCATCCAAGAAGGTTTCCAAGAGGAGGAGCAATGAGGCCCGAGTATTGAAAGACAAGACCCGGATGCTCTAGGTGGGTGGGTCAGGTGTAAGAGGAGAAGCAAGATTATCCCTTCAGTACCCACCGTGCCACCTGCTGCTTACTGAATGGCTAACATTCCCAGAACATCCTGAGCAGTTTACATCTTATTTAACCCTCCAAACCCCTGTGAGGTAGGTACTATTATTCCCGGTTGTGCTGATAAGGAAACCTAGGATCAGAGAGGTTATGCCACTTGCTGCAGGTCACACAGCTAATAAGCAAAAGAACCAGAGTTCAACCCGCTTTCACAATGCTTAGTTTGGGCCCAGAGGTGGTAGAGAGAAAAGCCTGAGGAACGGGTGACCGTTCGATGTGAGGTGGACTGGAGTGGGCCTGCCGCCAGGTGGAAGCTGTGCCCTGTGGGCTCGGGGTGGGTGACCCCACCTTTGTTTCACACCGTCTCATCAGAGCCCCCCCGTGGCTTGCGTTTCAGCGGAGGAGTCCCTGGCGTGTGACAACCCAGGGTTGCCTGAAAATGGATACCAGATCCTGTACAAGCGACTCTACCTGCCCGGCGAGTCCCTCACCTTCATGTGCTACGAAGGCTTCGAGCTCATGGGCGAAGTGACCATCCGGTGCATCCTGGGACAGCCATCCCACTGGAACGGGCCCCTGCCTGTCTGTAAAGGTAAAGAAGAGTCCCGGGGCCCCTGAAGCTGCTCTGAAGGGGCGGGCGGCTGTCCCTGGTGAAATCTAGCAGGCCACCTGTTTTCATCCGTTTTCTGTTGCTGTAACAAGAGGCCTGAGGCAGGGATACCTTATTAAGAATAGAAGTCTGTTATTCAGCTTGTGGTTCTGACGCTGGGAAGTCCGTGAGCTGGGTACCACATCGGCTCAGCATCTGGCCAGAGCATCCCGTGGTGAGACAGGGATGTGTGCCAGCTCCGTCTCTCCTCCTCTTCCCACGAAGCCACAATGCCACAGGGAGGGCCACCCTCTAGGCCTCAGCTCACCTGATCATCTCCAAAGGCCACCCCCAAATACACCAGGAGACAGGTATGAGGACTGGCTGTCAGCCGCGTGACAGGCTGGGGACACGCCCAAGTCAGTGCGCTGGCCAGTTCCCAGTCAGCTTTTCCGCTGGTCTTGGGGCCGCCGTGGGATGAGAACTCTGGCCCACCCTCCTCAGGAGGTCTCGGGATCGGGTAGGACGTGCCTGTCACCGAGCCCGCGGCCTCCGCTGGCCTGCCGTCCCCTACCACTGCAGTCTTGACCCCTGGGAAGAAGCACCCATCCTGGATGGAAAATCAGGGGCTCGGCTGCCACGTCCTTCAGGCCAGGGCACATGGGGGCCGTCTCCATCTCCTGGGCCGCCAGGTGCTCTAGGAATAAAGTAGCTGGAAGCTGTCCTCCATGGCGGGCCAGGCCTCGTCCCTACCCGCGGGATGGAAAGGAGATGGGCTGGGCTGACTCGGATGAGCATGTCGAGCAGGGAAACGGCCGCTGGATGTCACCTAAGGGCCTCCATGTCTCCTGAAAGCCATGCAGGAGCCCTCACCTCGTAGTTGAGAGCACAGGGAAGAGACAGCCCAGCAGTCCAGGTTGAAGTCACACCACCATCTCTTAGACGCTGTGTGACGTCAGAGAAATCACTGCATGTCTCTGAAACTCGACTCTCGTAGTAAGATGGTGGTGTAACGATTATCTACCTAGTGGGGTCGCGGTAAGGGTTGACTCAGGCACCGTGTGGGCAGCTCTTGGCACAATACCAGACACAGGGCAAGGAGTAATTGTTCATTATCACTGTTATTGGGCTAATGTCTTTACTCTGTCTCGTCTTCCCTTGGAAATTAAGGGAGTGCTCCCCTGCGTACAGAAGCCCAAGAGACGGGAGAGCACACTTTCATGTCTGGTTTTTCTGGGTTTCCTTTTATGCAATCAGAGCCAATCTGCTTGACGTTGACTGATGCCTCCCAATTTCTCTTGCAGTTAATCAAGACAGTTTTGAACACGCTTTAGAAGGTGAGTTCAATTCCAGTATGAGAGGAAAAAAAAAAAAAAACACTCAATACATCAAGCTAATAGCAGAAAACCGGGGCAGGTCTGTGACTATCTCTATCTGGATACTTACCAACGCGATCACTAATTCACTCTGCCAGAGGTGATTCCCAAACAGGAACGGCCAGGGGGCAGGGGGCCCACCTGTCATCCCAGCAGCTCGGGAGGCTGAGGCCAGAGGATCTCGAGTTCAAAGCCAGCCTCAGCCACAGGGAGGCCCTGAGCCACTCTGACCCTGTCTCTAAATAAAATATTTTTAAAAACTGCTGATGGCTTAAGTACCCCTGGGTTCAATCCCCAGTACCAAAAAAAAAAAAAAAAAGAATATATAAAGAAAAGCAAGTCATTAGAATTGCAACTTATCCTGAATACAACCTGGAGGGACTTGATACCAGTTCTCTACGTGACAATGACAAGGCCAAAATATTAAATTAAATTCAATACCGAGCGTCCCCAGCCCTAAGCCCCTGTTGTGACCTTTCAGCCCTGTTCCCTGCTCAGTCAAGCACCCCCTGCCCTCTGCAGAGAGGGGGAGCTCAGGACAGTCCCAGGGTCTGTTCTCCCTTTCATTCTGTCTCTGCCCCAGCATTCCCCTCCCTCTCCCTGACCTTTCATTACAAATCCCCAAGGGAGTTTTATTAACGTGGAGCACATGTTGAGAACCGTGCAGGGTGCTGGCTCTTTTCTGTGGCGGTCCCTCTCTTTCCGCTGCCTCTGTTCAATTGGGTACAAACACCTCCCACTCCAGCCCCAGGAAAACCTCGATTGTCGCATTTCTGTAGATGTCTCCACCAATTACGCGGCCGCCGTCGCTGCTGTTCTTTCTGGAGCCACCGTTGGCTCTGGGACAATAATGAGGTCACGTCGTGTCTGGGGCTCTGCAGATGCCGTGTCATGAGCTGCTGTTCCTTGCAGCCGACCCCGTCCTAATCCAAGCAGGCAGAGCCAGGGTTCCAACATGAGTGACGGGGGGAGGGTGTGTGGGTCCCTCCACCTGGAAAATAAGGGGCACGTCTCGCTGTTATTCTCCGGCTCCGGGCCTGCCTTATGGGCAGCCAGCGAACCGTGACAGTCTCCCGGGGCGGGCTCTCAGACGCGGTGAGCGCCCTTGTAGAGTTCTGTGCTCGCGCATTCATTGTTGTATTAGGATTGATTTTTTCAGAGCCTGTCAAGGGGCGGTTAATGGGTTATAGATTGGAGGACAGCTCGGCTCTGCTGGACGTGACTGCGGAGCAGGGGACAGGCCCTGCGGCCTAGGCTCTCCCGCCACCTGGGTCCCCGTCAAGCCGTGCTGGGAAATGCCCCAGAGAGCTGCGCTAGTCCTTGCCAAGGCCACCACCCTCGCTGTGGGAGCCCCCGGGTGACACCAAGAGAGTCACCCAGGAATGGGCAGCGGGGGTTCTGGAGGAAGCCAGGGCTCGTCACAGTCGGGGTGTCCTCCACCTGCAGCCTGAGAGCTCCCCCCAGCAGCCCCCACCCTGCCCTGGGCTGAAATGTCCCTGAGCGGTGCTGGCAGGGACCCCAGCTGGGGTGACGAGGTCCCGGGCTGGCTCCAGGGTTGGAAGCTCCTGGTGGAGACCTCGTGGCTGACCCTGGGCACAGGCAACTGTCTGAGGCTCAGTTTGGTTGGGTTTTTGGTTTTGGTTTTGGGGTTTTGTCCTTTTGTCACATGAGGTTGAACCCAGGGTCACAGCCCAGCCCATCTTTTCTCTCCCCGGCGCCCCGTGGACGGTCCAGGGAGCCTGCCCTCCTGGTCACCACCTTTGGGGTTTTCCCACTTCTCTGATTTCCCTTGCCTCGGATTCCAGCCCCAGTGTACCCACCTCCCGCCCCCAGATGGCACAGAGGTGATCGGGATCCCAGCTGTCATTCTGGTGGCCCTTCTGGCCATGCCACCGCAGAACGAGTCTGGGCTCCGGGGCCCCTGGTGTCTGCCTCCGCCCTCCGGGGGCTGGGGCTCTAGGACATCAGCCTCTTGGGGACCGCAGCACGGGGAGGACGGGGTCGCCCCGAGCGGGCACCCGGGGTGGGGGGCGTGAGGCGGGCCTCAGTGGCTTCCTTGTTCAGTAGCAGAAGCGGCAGCAGAGTCGTCGCTGGAAGGCGGGAACGTGGCCCTGGCCATCTTCATCCCGGTCCTCCTCATCTCCTTGCTGCTGGGCGGAGCCTACATTTACGTCACCAGGTAGGAGGGGGAGGGGCGGCGCTCCGCATCCCACCTGCCGCTCGGGGCAGAGGCACCTGCGATGGCCTCCTGGGCACCTGCCAAGCCTCCAGATGGGCAGCAAAGGGGACAGACACCATCCCTGACCCCAGAGAACTTAGGGACTTAGGGGACACGGACAGTACTCACCGCAGTGCACTGACTCACCCATCCCACGGTCCACTCGCTCGCTCGCTTATGCTACAATTACACGGTGGTCATCAGATGGGGACCAGCCATTGTCCCTGGTGCCGGTGGCCGCTAGCCTGCACTTGGTGGAGAGGGAAGATACTCCCCCGCGTGGTCCAATCACCAAGCTTCCAGAGTCACAGCCGGGGCGCACCTACTCTGTGCCAGGCAGCCTCTGGACGGCACAAAGCACAGTCTTTGCCTTCTAGGATCAGGGTCCTCGGCGAGCGAGCGGGCGAGGGGACAGCAGGGGGAGCACATCAGAGAAGCATGCAGTGCGTTGGGACAGAAGAGGAACTGGGAAGGGGGAAAAGGGCTCTGGGGTCGAGATGGTTTTTAAGGAGTAGGCAGCAGAGGCCCCACTGACAGGGCACTTGAGCGAGAACTTGAGGGTGTGATCAGGAACAGACCAGCGGGTCTGTGGGAGGGGCGGATGCAGGCAGAGAAGGCGCACGTGCAAAGGCCCCGAGGCAGCGAGCGTCTAAGGTGCACCGTGCCCACCCAAGTGGAGCTCAAGATCTGGGGGGGAGGGGGGGAGACTGCAGACAAATAAATGACAGCCAAGGTGAGTCACCTGGGAGAGGCGGTTTCCACACACACCCTTGTCAGTCACGGAGGGGCGCGAGCTGTTCGCGGGAGAGAAGTAACCGCTGTCCCCTCCTCCGCAGGTGCCGCTATTACTCGAGCCTCCGCCTGCCCCTCATGTACTCCCACCCCTACAGCCAGATCACCGTGGAGACCGAGTTTGACAACCCCATTTATGAGACGGGGGTGAGTTGCTCCCCCTTCCCGCCTCCTGTCCCCCCACCTGCAGCTGGTGGAGGCACATCCAGTGGCCTTGTCCTGTTCCTGCCAAGTCCCCTGCTGAGCTGACCAGCTCTGTCTGCAAGTGACCAGAGCCAAAGAGAGCCTGAAGGCCTGGGGAGGGGGGACAGGCATGGGGGGAAAGGGCTCTCCACAGAGAGGCTCACAGCAGGAGTGTCCCTCCTACCAAGACAGAAGTCACAGTCCTGCCCGATGTCAGCACAGGAGGGACGCCCTTGTGCTACAGTCATGTCACAGGCCCACCCACCCCACAGAGAAGGGGACCACACAGGACACCAGGAGGTGGGCACAGTGGGGGCCACCTTAGATCCTGCCCGAAGTGTAGATGTGGTTGTTCATTAGTGTGGGCCCAGCAGGAACCAGAGACTTCCACCAATCACGGTGACCATGACCACTGCCAAGTGAGCCTGTGACTTCTTGCCTTCCCTGCTCCTCACCTGGGATACGCTCCACACGCTCCGTGAACATTGGAGAGGTTGACTTGGTTGCTACCCCAGGCTGCAACCATCCCAGATGGGGACATCCCCATCCCACCAAGAAGGGGCAGAGGCTGCTTTGGACCCTCTGCATCTTCTTCCAGATCCCAGAGAAAGGCCAGGCCCGAGCAAGTGGCACTTTAGTTGTTTGTTTGGTTTTTAGGTGTTAATGATTTTCTTATTTGCTCTTGTTGGTTACACATGACAGTAGAGTGTGTTCTGACACATCAGACAGACATGGAGTGTGGCTTCCCGTTCTTGTGGCCGTGCACGAGGTGGCTTCACTGGTCATGTGTTTACTATGAACACAGGAAAGTTCTGTCCAGTCCACCCCACTGTCTTTCCCATTCCCATTGCCCTCCCTTCCCTTCCTTCCCTTTATCTAATCCAATGAACTGGGTTCTCCACCCCCGTTATTGTGTATTATCGTCAACATATCAGAGAGAACATTCAGCCTTTGGTTTGGGGTGGGGGGGGAACTGGCTTGTTTCACTTAGCATGATATTCTCTAGTTCCATCCATTTACCAGCAAATGCCATAATTTCATTCTTCTTTAAGGCTAAGTAATATTCCATTGTGTGTATGTACCACATTTTCTTTATCCATTCTTCTGGATATAGCTTGGCTATGGTGAATTGAGGTGCTACAAATATCGATGTGGCTGTGTCACTGTAGCATGCTGATTTTAACCCCTTTGGATATACACCGAGGAGTGGGATAAATGGGTCAAATGGCGGCTCTATTACACACTTTCTGAGGACTCTCCATACTTGTTTCCAGAGTGGTTGCACCAATTTGCAGTCCCACCAGCCATCAGGATGTACCTTTTCCTCCCACATCTTCACCAACATTCCGGCTGGAGTGAGATGAAATCTCAGTGGAGTTTTAATTTGCATTTCTCTAATTGCTAGAGATGATGGACTTTTTTTCGTGTTTGTGGATCAGTGTTATTTCTTCTTCTGTGAGGTGCCTGTTCAGTTCCTTGGCTCTTTTCTGGATTGGGTTATTTGGTTTGGAGTGTGAAGTTTTTTGAGGCCTTGGTACCCCTTGGAGATAAGTGCTCCATCTGAGGTGCAGGGGGCAAGGCTGGAGGCCCCTCTGCACCTTCCTGATGGCTTCCTCTGCGGTGAGGAAGTTTGAGACTGACACCACCCTGGACATGGCGTTGTAGAGCCTTGGTCACTCCTACGGATGAGCAGGGTGTATCACTGACCTGTGGAGCCAACAGGACACTCAGCGGAAGAC